GGGGCCGGGAGGTGGGGCGGGGTCTGGTAGGCGGAGTCTGGTAGGCGGGGCCGGGCTGGCGCCCCTCTTTTGAAGCTTCCAGGCAGCTGCCTGTGGCTGTGGCTTTTCGCCAGCCCTCACCCACCCCGAGTTGCAGGGACACCTGGAATTTCAGCAGGTCTTTCCCGCACCTGAAATGCAGCTGCCTGCGGAGCTAAGGGGCAAAGGTTGCCAGGTCCTTGCATGCCCATTGCACAAGGAATAAAGTCTCTCCCCTGGGCTCCACTTTAGGAAGCAAATATTAAAGGCGCTGCCGGAAAGAGGCAAACAACAAAATATTTTAAAACAATTCAAATTTTGAAGGAAAAAAATTGAAGTCATATTTCGTCTTCTGAAAAACCAAGGCACTGTGAAATTTATTCTACTACTACTTTACGTTTTGCGTTTCGTGTGTGAACAGCCTCAGCCGCGAGGTGGCAGGAGGAGCCCCCACAGCACCTTGGTTTCCGCGGATCTCATTCTGGCCCTAACTCCCACCATTTCCAATTCTTTATTTTGTAAAAGTCCAGATAAAATTCTCACAGTTTAGGAAACGATGAATGGAATTTTTCTGCGATAGACTCATGTCCCAAAACACTTTCTATAATATTTGAGTGAAATGTATGTTTTCTAGCAGTCACAAACGAACTTTTCCCGGGAACAAATTCAAATTTAGCCAACAGAAATTCTAGGGAGGCAAATGATTTTTTTGAGGATCAAGGTTTGGAGCACATCTCCTCGGCTGCACTCTGAAGCCGTTATGAGTGTATATAACTTGTGGGACTGGCAGAGCAAAGAGAAATTTCAGCTCTCAGAACAAAGACATGCAGTTTGGCTCAAAGAGGCCTCTTCCCTGTAATAAGCAAATACTCAAGTAACCAAAGTTAAACAGCAGAGATGCAACAACAAACAAGAGAAGGGGAAGCCGTGCCAGACTGAGAACAGGTTGGGCCTTTGAACTATACAGTTCTCACAACAAGGCCAGGAGTAACCTCGGAAGAAGGCAGAGAGAACAGAGTTTCCAAGACATACTCTCCAAAATACATGCCTCCTCTCCATGGCTAAGGCTGTGACTACCTGAAAGTTGTTAGGACTCTGAGAGAAACATGTTGGCTTACTTTGAAGATATCAATATGTAATACAACCACCATTGTTAATTCCCTACCACTTTGTTTGCAACTCTGTATTGTCTGTATTGTGCTTGTGATATGTTGTAAAATGTTGTATGTCTGTTAATGTTTCCCTCCTTATATCTTTAAAATAAAAAAAAGAAACATGTTGGCTTAATTGGAATGAAATTGACCTATAAGACACTACTAGAACGTGTCAGAGATGCCCCCTTTAACTTGTAGAAGACCATTCCAAAGATGCCCACCTCAATCCACTCCCTCATTCTGATCACGTTACTGAGCAGTAGCAGAACCTATTAAATATCCAGATACTCTCAAATTGTTTAAACAATACAAGCATTCCCGTTTTTTTCAAATAATTGTAAAATATTGTTAACATGAGCTATTAAAAACAAAACTAAATTGGGGGTAGGGGGGCAGCTCAGTGGCAGAGTGCTTGCACAAGGCCTTGGATTTGGTCCGCAGCACTGGGGGAAAAAGTCCTACAAAGTCCTCCTCAGCTCGCTCCTCTAAGCTATTGCTTCAAGACACTCAGAGAGTGTAACTCCCTTCCCCTTGAGACTCCCAGTGGTCCATGTCATCAGTGGGAAACAGAAGTGCACACAAAATTCTACACTGGAGAATACAAGCTACAATCCTTCGGGACAGTGAGGTGGAGGCACACAAGAGAAATAATCACATCACACTAACCTCATTTTTGCTTCACTTTGTATATTCAGTAGGTGACATGTTTACAGGCCAGTCATTCACATGACATTACTGAGGACACTGTGCTAGTCCCTTAAATATAGTATATCTAAATTTAGGGCAACATCCATCTTAAAGACTGGTATGGCTTATATCTAGATGTCCCCCCGAGCCTCATAGGGGCATAGGTGGGGGTTTTCAGAGGTGGCTGGATCTAGGGTGTGTGATACTGGGATGAAGTATGTGATGCTGGGAATGAGGTGCTCCACCCTGGGTATGAGAGCTACTCACCCTGAAGGTGTATAGCCTGGACGGGATGGATAGAAGGGTCAAAAGGGGGCTACTGCCATCACCTGCTGCAGCTACTGCTTCTACCTCCTTCCTGCTCTGAGATGCCTCTCTGCTACACCACCCTGCATAGAGCCTGCTGATTATGAACTGAAACCTCTACAAACTGTGAGCCAAATTAACCTTTCCTTCCTTAACTCAGGTGTTGGGTATTTTGTCTGAGCAATGTGAAAAACAACTAAGATGAAGACTAAGATGAAAAATATGGTTTCTACAATATCACAGGTACTTGGATCATAATGTGGCACCCTCCTGCAGACAGACCTGTAGCTAGTCCTCACACCCCCACCCCTCCCCAGCTCCTGTGCACAGGTCAGAAAAGTTCAGGTATGGCATCAAGCCGCCAGGACTCTCCAGCAAAGAAATTAAGAACATGGAGGAATTTCTGGGAATAAACAAGAGCCACTTCAACCCTAGGAAAAAGGCAAAGAGAAAATCCCAGGAAGCAGATTTTGGCCTTGGAAAGAGAAAAGGGCAGACAGATCTAAGTTAAGTGAGGTTAATGTGATGTGATTATTTCTCTTGTGTGCCTCCACCTCACTGTCCCGAAGGATTGTAGCTTGTATTCTCCAGTGTAGAATTTTGTGTGCACTTCTGTTTCCCACTGATGACATGGACCACTGGGAGTCTCAAGGGGAAGGGGGTTACACTCTCTGAGTGTCTTGAAGCAATAGCTTAGAGGAGCGAGCTGAGGAGGACTTTGTAGGACTTTTTCCCCCAGTGCTGGGGACCAAATCCAAGGCCTTGTGCAAGCACTCTGCCACTGAGCTGCCCCCCTACCCCCAATTTAGTTTTGTTTTTAATAGCTCATGTTAACAATATTTTACAATTATTTGAAAAAAACGGGAATGCTTGTATTGTTTAAACAATTTGAGAGTATCTGGATATTTAATAGGTTCTGCTACTGCTCAGTAACGTGATCAGAATGAGGGAGTGGATTGAGGTGGGCATCTTTGGAATGGGCTTTGAAGCCCAGAAGATGTGGCACTGGGACCAGAAGGGGCCTGTATACATCCGGTAGGGCCACTCTGAACTTCAGTTTTGGCCTTGGTAGTTTGAAAATATCACTTTGTAGCCTCAATTTTCATTCAACACTATCTTATTCAGAAATTGACAACATATTTTTAATGACCAACTTCTCCCTCTGAAACTCATTCTAGCTGGGAAGAAAACAAATTCGCACAATGAATAAGGAAACTATAGAGTATATGCAAAGGTCATAGACTCCATAGCAAAAATAGGTAGAAAAGAGAAGGAGGACTGGGCATGCTGTGACAGGGACATGCGGAGAGGTCTCCTGAGGAGAGGGTAACTGAACAAGGGTCTGACGGTGGCAGGAGTCCGTCAGGCATGCTGCTGCTGGGGAGAAAAGCTGTGTAAGCAGAAAGAACAGAGTGCAAAGCCACTCAGCAAAAAATAATCCTGTGCTCCAGGAAAAGCAAGGAGGTCACTATGTGAGGAAGGCTAAAGCAGGAAGGCAGCAGATGAGGTCAGAGAAGTCAAGGGTCTTTAAGAGCAAGGTTTTGACTCTGAATGACTCCCCTGTGCCTTCACTGCAGGCCAGGAAGGAAAGAGAAATTGAGGAAGGGGCCAAGGTCCCTCAATCACCTTGGAGGGTATTGCTCCGGTGGTTTAAATACCTCCTATTGGCCCCACCACTTAATGTTCCACTACCTTCCAGTAACACCTCCCAGAGAGCCAAGACTTCAGAGTGGGGTGCTGTGAACCCCAAGAGAGAATGTCACCTAGGAAGAAGCAAGATTGTGTTAACACTGCTGGCATGTCTTTGGGAGACATTGAGGATCCAAATTAAAGCCCCATGTGAGAAATGATACTGTTTTAGACAAGAATAACAATGTAGGTGGTGACCACTATTGGATTTCTGGAAATATTTGGGAAACAAAGACAAAAGGATTGTTGTATTCATGCATTGTCTGTGGAGTGTGAGTAAAAGGAAAACTCAAGAATGACTCAAGCATGCTTGGGAAACTGCAAGAACTAAGGTACAGAAGGCTTGTAAGGGGAGTAGGTGTGTAGGAGAACAACTGGAAGTGGACTGGCTTGTTGTGTTGGAGATATGGATAAGATGTCCAAGTGGAGACACCATGCAAGCTGCTGAATTTGCAAAACTGATGTTCAGGAAAGCTTGGGATGGAGATACAAACTTACGACTTCATAGAGAGTTGTTAGTCTAAAGATAATACCCTTAGTGAGATCACCAATAGGCTAGGTGTGGCAGAGAGAGCAGACTAATCATAAGTCCAGGTCTATCTAATGAGAAAAGAGAAGGAGCTGATTGGGCTAGAAGGAAAGTGAGAAACAAATTCAAAACAGGTATCTTGAACCTCAAGAGAGAAAAGTTATTGATGGAGAAGTAGTGCCTGTATTAATACTGCTAGAGAGCCAGGTTAAAGGAAGATTGAGAATTGACCAATGGCCCTAACATGTGTCAGATACTGATAAACTGGACACAGGCAATTTTGATGAAATTAGGGTTGAGGAAGTCAACTGGAATGTGCTTAAAAAGAAATAGTGAAAAAGAATCTGAGAGGGAAAACATAGATAACTCATTCAAAGATCTATGCCAAAAAGAGGAACAAACAAATGGTATGGTAGGTGGGGGTGGGAGAGGGAGCCGAGTCAAGAGCAGTGTTCCATTTTCATTTCTGTTAATATGGGAAGCATTACAGACCATATGCAGGCTGACAGTGATCTTGATCCACAAAGAGTGAAAATCAGTGAAGTAGGAGAGACCATGGAGAATTCCTAATGTGCTACCCTCCAGAAAGTGAAGGGTAGGGGACCTGGTGACCAAACGAAGTGAAGGGACTCAGGGGAAGCACAGAGGGTAACTTAGAGCACCACTGCCTTCTCAATGAAATCATTTGGTTAATTTCAAATACATAATATGACACTACCATAATTGAGAACTAGAAATATCATTGTAATTTGTTGTTAATATTCTGACTATTCATTTTGAAATTAAAGTATTCACTTGAGATGTAACATGAAACAAAATATGGAGGGTGGAGTCAGGGATAGTTGCTAAAATTAAAGTGAAATAAAACAATGGTTAATGATTATTAAAACTATTAATGAAATATCCAGAAATAGTTACTAAGAACTTTCAAATATTTAAACACAGGGAAATAGATTGATAGTTCCTATAAATATTAGAATATATTAGCTTTACAACTTTAAAAAGAATATGATATCTTTTCTGAGCAAACAAATGCATCTAAAATTATAATTCTAAAGCTATAAAATGTATATTATAAAATATATAAAAATTATACACTACATAATATATAATTTTCAAATATATATACTGACTAAGGTAAATTAATGAAGATCACTATGCAGCACCTTTGATCATTTTAGGGTTATTTGATGCATGCTATTTGCTGTGGCTTGAATATAGGCAGTGTCCCAATGCTCCACCTGCTAAAGGTTTGTTCCAAGAGTGGTGTCATAGGAGGTACTGTGGACCTCTAAGAGGTGCACCTGTGGTAGGTCTTGGATCTATGAAGGCATGTGCTACTAGTTCTCAAGAGGATATTTGTAACAGCTGGGGCTTGGCCCTACCCAGTTTTCTTCCACTCCACTATCAGTAAAGTGGAGCAGAGATGTAAGATGTAAAAACTTGCTTGATCTCAGCGCACAGTCCCACCCTGGTATCCATTCCTTGAGAGGATGAAGTCAGGGATAGCTGCTATGTCTATGCTCAATCAACTTGGTTCTAAACCTCCAAAAGTGTGAGCTAAGTAACCCTTTTCTCTGTAAAACTAGTTGTCTTGGTTATTTCACTGTAATGATGGAAAACTGGCTAATAGATTGTCTTAGTCACATTCCTCTTCACCAGAAAAAAGTATCCCACATCTGAAACTCAAAGGGGGAGAGATTTTGTTGTTGTTATTCCCAAGATTTTATTAAGAAAATTTCCAAACATACAAAAAAGTTGAAATAATGGCACACCAAACACCTATTCACCATCCAAGTTCCAGAATGAATGTTAGCTACCTCTGCTTTACTACATATCCACTTATTTCTCTATTTATTAATCTTTCATTTTAATTGATTTTTTATTTGTACAAGATTACAATGCATGATGAATACACTCAACATGGAGAGCTGGAACATGTACATATTCCATCTTAATTCTTTTTTACTTCATCTTGCCATCTCCTCCTTCCCCATCCTTCCGTCTCTAGGTATCTACAGTTTTAGAAGTTTCAGTTCAGGGTTAGCAGTCTCAAATACAGAAACAGCATGGTAGAATGGCCTGCTGAGAAGGAAAGGTGCTCATACATGGCATCCAGGAAGCAGAAAGGGAAGAGAGGAGCCAGGGAAGGAGACAGACCTACACTTCCAGTTTGACCTTAGTGACCTGTCTCTTTCATCTAACTCCCACCTCACAACAACACATTTAGCTATGGATTCATCAGTGCATTAAACTCTGAGAATTTGGGGGGACATTTTAGACCCAAACCATGATACACCATTCATAACATTTGTCAGTGCCCTTAGGGGGCCTAAACAAGATTTTCATGGGTGAGGTCCCAAGGTTAAAGAACACATGTGTGCAAGACATCAACAACAACAGCAGGGAGCAGAAAGAAAGCCACCAGTGTATTTATTGCATAATCCTAATACAGGTTGTTATCTCATATTTACATTCTTACATAGTGCTGTAACCAGTGCATGGGTGTTTACCTTGCTAAGTCATGGTTCCACAACTGTATCCCACTGTGCACCTGTGTGACAAGTGGGGGTCACAACTTCAGGTGTCCTTAAATTCCCCTGAGCTTTGAAGCAGACTGAGTGGTTCCCCACAACATTAAACATACTTTTATACACTGAATTGAATTTTACCATTTAATTTAATTTTTCTTCAAGGACTTACGGCTTGAGTGTAATTAACTCAAGCCATGAGTCTTTGAAGAAAAATATTTTCTTAGGAATTATTACCACCTCAAAATCTCATGAGGAGAAAAATCTTCCCACATCTATGATAAAACATTCTCTACCAAGACAGAATAAAGAATAGATAATTTATGAAGACAAAACTGTTAGACCAGTATCATACTTCTGGAGTGTTCTTATTTAAAACAAATAATAATTTGATTACCAAAATCAGTATATACAAAGAACAGAGGTTCCTTCCACTCTTAGGTCACCAGATTATTTTCTAAGTTACTCAAAGTTCCAAGGCATTACATTAACAATGTAAGGAGATCTTGTTATGGGGCAATGGGTTAAATTTAGGTAAATGTGACTGGTTTTACATGGTGTCAGTTGAGAAGATTTGTTGTATTATTCATGGAAGTATATTAATCTTACTAACACCTATCTGCTATCAGTAAGAGCCTCAAATATATCCAGATGGCCAAGAAGAAATAATACAGGAAAAAGTTTATGTCAGGTTTTGCTGTTGCATGTATCTGAACCAAACAAATCATTGTCTCTGGTTGGATAAGACCCATAGGGTTATCTCAGAGACACATAGCTGCTGAGAAATGCCTACAAACATTGATCATTGCCCTATGCTGTGCCCTGCTCCTAAACACACACACACACACACACACACACACACACACACATTGTACCTTTGCCAATTATATATGCAGTACTATTAGCAGCAAGGGAAGAACAGTGTCCTTATTCTTCTATAAGCTGAGGATATTTCCTTTCTCCCCAAGTGAATATGCAGAGGCAGAAGTTAAATTTGCTTTTATTTTGTTCATATTTGCCTAAAGGCACATTTGATCAGAGAATAAAAACCTGATAGATATTAATAATTATCATTAAAGATTTTGAAGACAATAGTCTAAAAATAGGTATCATGTGGATATACTATAAAATACATATAAAATCCTCTGTTGATTTTTTTAGGTTATTTTCACATTTTTTGTCATTACAAGAAATACCATGTTGAATATTCTTCACATCAATTTTCTTCCTACAAAGCTACTTATACATGAACTCCAACAATCAAAGAAATGTATCAAAACCTAGGTTTGCAGGACTGGCTTGTCTGTTGATTTGATGTATGATCCACTCATCACTGTCTCAAACAGGATGATCTGGGAGGAAAAGGAAGATAGACAAAAAGAAAGGTTAAGCCTCCTTACTATGGCATGAAGATGACACTGTGATTTGTATTCTGAGGACAAAGATAATCTGAAGGTTTATAAGCCCTCAAAGCAGTGGCTGGGTGACTGACCTCATTGTCTCCAGGATGGAGCCAGACACCAGGAAGGTAAAGGGTCTGCTGAGGCCCAATCGTCCAGTACCGCCCAAGGTTGCGTCCATTGATGAACACGAACCCACGATACCAGGTCTGCAAAGGGAGAAGCTGAGTCCTGTGAGCAGATTCACCCTGAAAAGTGAACCTAAGCCACTTGGGAAGTGAGAGCAAGAAGAGATGCCAATGGCAGTGAGCATGGATGTGCTTTAGGGAGGGATGTGTTCTAGAACTTCCACACTGCTGTCTAGGAGCAAGAGGGGAAAACACAACTGGAAGCAGCACTTTCCTCACCACGATTCTATGGCTGTCCCTGTCCTGTGGTATGTATATTATTTTTTAAACCAAAAATCAGGACTAAGTAAAAAGATATGAAGACTGCTCCAGACAACAGCTATTGAAAGCTACACAACTTTCTTCAAACTGCTTATGATATAACAAAAAAATACAAGACAGAAACCTAGAAGGAAACAAAGAGACACAGAGACATCCTGGTAGTTTTTCCATGACAGGCATCTGCTTACTCAGAGAGAGCTGCTAAGTAGCTGTGCAAATCTTTCATACATCCTCAAGGGTAAGGGTACAAAAATTGGATACCAGGAAATCTTACTTATTCTCTCTGCACTGTGAGCCAAATGCACCGCACCTTATTATAAGGCTGAAGTGCAAATCCTTCTGAAGTGCAAATCATTGGAAGCCTTGCTTCAGATCTCTTCTATCCTTGTATGTGGAAGAATGTGCTTGCTATTGACCCTGGCCATCTCCACAGATAGATGGACATCACCATCACAGGCAGGGAAAATATTTATATCATATTTTCCACATATGTGTCTGATACTCATTCAAAAACTAAGCAAGATATAGAGGAAAGCTCAATATAATACAAAAAAACAGGATATAAACAAATAATACAAATAGATGCACAAGTGACTCAGATACTAAATTTGTAAAACAAAGGCTTTAAAATAACCTTTCACAATAAGGTGATATGTTTAAAATGATAAAAGCCAAAACTGAATATTTGGATATAAAACTAGAAATATTTCAACAACAATAAAATATAATAATTAAAATTAATATGTAATGTTATTTAGGGGAGCAGATTATATAACTATTAGAGAATTACTAAAATAATAAGTAATTTTTCAACTTTAAGATGAAAGGAATAAAGAATGGGAAACATAAAAGACAGGAAGAGAAAAATAGACATACCAAAATAGCTTAATCTATAAAACTGGAGTCTTTCAATTGCTCTGAATAAAAATACAAGAATCGCTGGACTGGATTTTATATAATGGTGTTTATGTGTTATGTAAAACAGAATCATTATATCATAAAAGCAGTGATAAAAGGAAAGGAAAGGGGCTGGGGATTTAGCTCAGCAGCACAGCGCCTGCCTGGCAAGTGCGAGGTCGTGAGTTTGATTCCCAGTACCGGAAATAAAACAAAAAAAAGTAAAGGAAAACCTATGGTGAAAGATAAACACATTAAAAGGAAATTGCAGTAGCTATGAAAATATCAGAAAAGTGAGTCTTTAAGGCAACAAGTAGTGTCAGAGATTGTCTTTGTTACTTTTCTCATTGCTGAGATGAAATACTTCACACCCAAACTTAAAATGGGAAATACTTATTTTGACTCAGTTTGTAGAGGTTTCAGTCCATAGTAAGCTGACTTCAAGGCAGGCATGGTAGAGAGGCATAGCAGAGGAGAAACATTCTGTGGCAGGTAGAAGGCAATAAAGCAGAAAATGACCAGCAACAGGCCACAACCCTCATTCTGTCCCTTATGTCCTTAAATCTACCCTAAGGACAGATACCACTCCCACCTAGAGTAGGGCACAATTAATCCTAGTATCATACCATGAATCAATCCCAGCATCACATTCTTGATCCCAGCATCATACACCCTAGATATGCCCACCACTAAAAATGTCCACCTATGACTGCATGAGGCTTTGCGGGGACATCTAGATACATCTTTGAGGGGACATCTGTATAACAGAGTTATACAGGGGTATCTCATAGTTATAAAACTATTAATATCATGAATACATAAGTTATATATAGGAAAGTTAAAAGTATACATTTAATATAAACAATATAGACAGAATAATGAGAGATTAAAAACTGAAAACATTTGATATAACTTCAGTGGCTGATGAAAAAAAATAAAAACATCGATGAATCAATCTATAAAACATTTGAAACATGACTAACAAATTGAGCTTATCAACATATATGGAACATTGATATAACATCTAGTGATTATATATGTCTTTTCATGTGTTCATCAGAATATTTACAAATTTCATTCCATGTTGAGCTAAACAGTCTTTACATATTTTAACAAACACTATTTGGAATTTAAGAAATATACTTCCAAGGAGGGTCATGGCCTACACTTGTAATCTTAGCACTAGGGAGAATGAAGCAGGAAGATCATCACAAGTTCAAAGCCAGCATAAACTACACAAGCAAGGTCTTGTCTCAAAAGAAATGAACAAACAGAAAACATAAGAAAAAGAAACTTACTTCTATGTAAGTGAAAGGCAACAGAAAAAAATCACATGAGAAGTTACAAAGTACTTCAAGTAATTGATGAAAACAAAATATATGAAAACTTAAGGGCTATAAGATCATTACCAAATTTTCTTCTTTTACTTCTTAAGAGTAGGAAAATTTATTGGGGAATAAGATCACTCCTGAGAGACAGGAGGGGCCCCAAATGGGTTACCCTATTACCAAATTATCATCAAACACTTTGAGGCCACAAGGGAGTAGGTTGATATGTTTAAAATTCTGAAAGACATAGCCTGTCAGCCAAGAAAACTGTGCCCAGAAAGACTGTCTTTCAAAAAAAGGTAAAGAATTTCCTCCCCAACTAATAGAGTTTCTTATGATTAGCCCTGCTTTATAAGAAATGTCGAAGACAATCTGACATCTTAAGGCACATTGCCAGGAGAATCTTTCCTACCTATTAAAATTGGTATAAGTAACTGATCAGTAAGAGATAAAAATATCAGTGTTGGGATGCAAAAGGAAGGTAAACTGATATTTGCATTAGAAAACAATAGCTATACTAACAGATCCCAAAGAAAGGAAAATTGACTAACTGCCTGAAAAAGAATTCATAATAATGATGTTTATAAAACTCAAAGAGATAAAAAACAAATAATGTAACAAAACCCAAGATATTCTGCCTAAAAGAAACTCACTTCACAGAAAGGAAAGCACACAGACTGAAAGGAAAAAAATAGAAACACATATTCCATGTAAAAGGTAACCAAAAACTATCAGCAGTAGTTTCACGTAACTGGATAACATATACATTAACTGAAAAACTGGAAAAAGAAAAAAGAAGGCAATTACATAATGCCAAAGAGATTAATTCATCAAGAGGTAATATAATTATAAATATATATATGCATTTATAATACAATTATAAGTATACATGCATTTATAATACAGTTATAAATACCTAAAGCCAGAAGGCCCAATGAATAAAGCAAATGTTAGATATGAGGTGAAAGGTACACTCCAATGCAATAATACCTGAAGCTTTCAACACCCCATTATCATCAATGACCATATCATTCACACACAAAAATCAGTAAACAGAGATCAACTCTAGTATAGAACAAATATACACAACAGGCATTTATAGACTATTTCACCCAACCCATACAGAACACATTCTTTCCATCAAGTGGAGTATTCCCTCACAATGGGACACATTAAGCCACGAAACAATCTCCAGGAATTTAGAAACCCTGCAATCATACCACGTATCGTCTCTGACCACAATGGAATGAAGAAACTGTATAGATACATGATAATAAAGCAACATACACGTGAAAGGTGACTAGGTCAATGAAGATACGCAAAGGGAAATTTTTTCAATTTTCCTGAAATGAGTAAAGATGAAAACATCATATCAAAATCTGGAGTAAAGGAATACAAAGAGAGACCTTTATACTAATAAATGCGTATATCAAAAAAGTGAAATATTTCAATAGACAACCTAACAAGCAGTGTATTGATCTAGAACAACAAAAACACTGAAAACATAAATGTAGTAGAGGAAAGAAATAACAAAGATCAGAACAGAAAAAAAAAATGGAGATTAAAAAGCACAATACAAATAATCAATGGAAATACCATTGGTTTTTTTTAAAAGACAAACACAATTTACAAACCCTTACTAGAGTAACCAAGAAAAAAAGATAAAAGACACAAATAAAAAAATTAAAGAAGAGACATAACAACAAAAATACAAAACATCTTTGAGGACTATTATGAACAACTACAAGCAACAAATTGAAAACCTAAAAGAAGCATCAATTTCTGGACACAGGATCTACCAAATTTGAATCAGGAATACATAAAACCTGAACAAACCAGTAATGATTAATGAGATTTAATCTATAATTAAACTCTTCCAACAATGCAGGACCAGACACATGGCTTCACTGTTGAATTTTACCTAAGCTTTAAAAAATGACTACTACCAACACTTCTCAAACTATTCTAAAAATTCAAAGACAGCTTTAAACATGTCCATCCACAGTAGAGTACTTCAAAACATAATCTCACATTTCCAAAAGGACGATTATGTGACACTGAAAATGAATAAATCAATGCAACATAAATAATTGGTTGAATCTCAGAGAGCTGAATAAAGGGCAGGGAGCACAGCTCAGTGGTAGAGCTACTACTGAGGAGAGAGGCCCTGGGATCAATTCCCATCTCCATATTTAAAAAGGAGAAACAGAATGTGTAGCAGATGATTCAGTGCACCTGAATTCAATAGAGGCAGCATCATAGAAAATATATAGTTGTTCACCTTTGAGAATAAGCCATCAGGAAGGCTTCTACACTCCTGGTTGGAATGTAAACTAGCACAACCACTATAGAAATCAGAATGGAAGTTCCTTACAAAAACTAAAGAGAACTAACTACCATGTGACCCAGATATATAACTGCAATATATTCATGAAGGAATTGAAGTCAGCGTACTATGAAGATAGATACCTGCATAACCATGATTACTGTGGCACAATTCACAATATCCAAGATATGAAGTGAGCCTGGGTTCCCATGAATGAATGAATGAGTGAGTGAATGAGTGAATGAATAAAGAAAATATGGCATAAATGCACATGGAATACTATACAGTCATAGAGAAGAACAAAATTGTATCATTTGCCAGGAAAATGGTTGGAATTGGAGAGAATGTTATTGAGTAAAATAAGCCAGACTCAGACAAGTTTGCATGTTTTCCCTAATATATAAAAGAGAAAAGAGAAAAAAATAACATGAAAGTAAAGGAAGACTGTCATTAGACAACATTAAGGGATATGGGTGAGGGGAGGCTGTAAAGATATTATTGGAAGGATGAATATGATCTAAATATATTATATGCATGTATGAAAATACCACATTGAAACCCAGAATCAGTAAAATTAACAGTGACAAATAAACATATATTTACAAAAGAAAAGCCATCAGTAATGTCAGCTGGTAACTATACTTTTTTTTCACAATTATAATTAAAAGGTGTTCATTTCATAATAATTTCTGATACATACATTTATATCTGTTCCTTTATGCTATTTATGTGTGCTCATAGATAAAAAGATATACAAGGTAAAAATTAATCTGCATGCCCCAAATAAAAACAAATTACAGAATATAATTTATGCCAGTATTATACTAGTATAAAAGTTGTATGTGCATGTTTAGGAAATCAAATATAAAAACAAACTTTTAGCTCTATTAAGCTCTGAAATGTACAGATGAATCAGAATAAGGGTGGCTTGAATAAGGCTTGAAGAAAGACTTTCACTATTTGCTACCTATATCTTATAATTATTTGAATCTCTGTACTTGACAAATTATCTAAACAATAATAAATTAGGATGACTGGAAAAGAAAGAAAGCTTGGTTGGAAGTGTGAAAGAAGAGGAAAGAAAGACAAGTGTTCCAGAAATATTGTGCCTAAAAATAACAAAAAAGAAATACTGCGCTTTTGCTTGTGGACTTTGGTGCTTGAAGCACCAGAGCAGATGGAGACTCACTTACCGGCAGGCTGAGGAAGGTGTCCCTAGGAGAAGAGCCAGCCTTCAAGGTGCCCAGGTAGAAGGCAGGCCCCATATACTCCTTTGGGGCAGGCTTCCAGGTGGCAGAGCGGAGTCTGGGAGAAAGGCCAAGACATGAGGGAGCAGACAACCCTTCCCAATTCTAGTCTGAGCATTCACCCCAGCTTTGCCTCCCCTGAACCAGGATTCTGTGACACTAGAAGTATCAAAGTGGAAATCAGGAGACGTTCTAATTTCTAGTCCTAATTCACAGGACCCAATAATCTAAGAAAAATCCCTACAGTTCCCTGAATCTTGGGCTCTTTATATACAGAGTAAAGAATCTGAAATCTCTCAGTTCCCAATGCTGTACTTGCGATGTGCTTTCAGCGTGTGCCTCAGAGTTTATGGCAGGCAAGCTTGGCGCCTAGCGTCCTGCTGTTGAGGCGGTAAAACTGTTAAGAGGTGAAATGTGGTGGTAGATGACTAGATTGCAGTGTTAATCACTCTCACAAGAGAATTTCTCTGTTCTTTAAAGATGATGTGTAATCATGGGAGTGGATTATTACACTGAGGCCACCTCTGTGCTTGGCCCTTCTGTACATAACTGCCACCTGTGCCATTCCCCATGAGGTCCTCATTAGAGCAGAACAGATGCCAGCTCAGGTCCTTCAACTCAGGGACTCAGAGCTATATACAACTGTTTTATTCTCAAAACTCCTAGAACCAGGTATTTCATTATAGCATCATAAAATGAACCAAGACTCCTGATCACTCAAAGTGTCCACTAGGGGTAGGAGGCACACACCTCTCAAAGAAGCTCATCTTCATCTCCAGAGGATAGATGGTGAAGCCCTCCAAAGTAACATTATTGATGCTGACAGAGCCCACTAATCCTGCATATGGGAGGCAGGAAGGAGAATCAGGTGCCAGCTGGCAGAAATGCAGACACGTATATACCCCATGATAAGGCTGCAGATCTGCTTTCTTCTACGTTTCCACACTACCAAAAATGTTCTCTACTTCATACATGAACTTTTCCCGAAATTCCCAGACAGAGACTGGGCCTTTCTCAAAAGAAACAATCGCCAAACAAATCCATTCTTCTTTCCTCCTTTGAAGATAAGACATAACAACCCAAGGGACAGGAAAGGAAGGGAAGGCATCTTTGATTCTTGGATCTGGGTATCCCACTGCTGAGGAACTCACTGTAGTTCCCACAAACCCATAATAGCTACAACTATGGATACTGAGAAATTGAAAAAAAAAATACTACCAACTTCTCCACCCGCCTATGGTTCATATGAACAATGTGCCAGAAAGGCATCATGCATTCGTATAGGTGGGCTTTTCGAAGGGGAGTGGACCATGAGGTCACTATAGCTGACTTACTGCCAGGAGATAGGGTCTGGATAGGAGAGGTAACTGACTGTGGTCCTGACCAGGAAGAGTGTCTCTTCTGTTCTGATGCCTCCCTTCTCTCTCAGTTACTTCCTGGTCACCAAGACATGAGCACCTTTCCCCTATTGGTCCTTCCCTAGGTTGTTTCTTGTTTGGAGGCAGCTGACTATGAACTGAGGCCTCTACAAACTGTGAGCCAAAAGAAACATCTCCCCTCTTAAGTTATGTGTATCAAGTATTTGTCTTAGGAATGAGAAAGTAACCAAGTGGCCCAAAGCTCACCTTTCTGTTCATTTTGAATTTTCCATGAAAAACTGATTCGTCCTTCATTCTCCACCAGGATCCTAAGAAGTCCACAACCCTGCTAGGAACATACAAGTTCATGGGGTCTGCATGGCCAGACCCATTTTTCCTCCAAGTCCCAGAAAGAAAGACAAGCAAATGGGGTAAAATAGGCTCCCAGTGCTTGCTCAGTTGTGAGGACATATGTGGTTCTATTCCACACTCAACCTGCCCTTCCTCTTCTGCTGATCCCAGTAGGTAAGGCAGCAACTCTCTAGTGCCTTAGACAAGAAACACAAACAGGGGCTCAACTCAGTAGTCAAGGCAGAAGGGGAAATTTCACCCTAATGCTGAAAGTCTCAAAATAAGCTGCTAATCCTAAGGCACCGACCATTGGGAGATGACTTTTGGTTACAGCCCTACACACTTCCTGCTGCAGCTTTATTTGAAGATCAATACCACAAGAAATGGGAGAGAAAGAGGTGGTCTGTTTCAAAACAAGGATATGTTTGCTTTTTTGAAGGGGGAGGTAGGGAATATCACCATGACTCTGTAATTACATACCCTGAATACAGGAATTTTCAGGGTCCATACATCCTCATCCAGCGATCCTATCTGTGTCTCATTCAAAAAAACCTGCAAAACAAAAGCCAGCGTGACACTGGTAGGCCCACCTGAAAAGGGGCAAGAAAGACTATGGTTCATGAAGTAAGAGGTCACTCTGAAGGGAGGGACTAGTTCTAGAGCTCATGTATGGTTGGATGCTGACTGAGGAGTCCCTATAAATTTTAAGAAGGGCTAAGGCAGAAATCAAAGCTATTACATTTACTTTTATACCCCCAGTGACTTCCCATGGAGGTGCTTTAAATACCACCACATACTAAAGTAGATCAATAGCTAATTAAACTCAATAACACAGTGGGGATCAACACATGGCTCATCACCAGCGACACCTGCTGTCCCTTACCTGTGTTTTATCATAAACATGACCATAGAGCTTGCCTCCAGAACAGATGACAGTCTCATAGAGAATGAATCCAAAGGACTGACCACTGCCATTGTTCACTGGAAGATTCTCCATGTTGACTGGAATATGTGACTTGATAGGCTGAGGGAGACAAAGTGAGGAGAAGTCAGGATCTTTCTTCCTAAGATCCCTGTCACTGTTTGCTGGATCACCTAATGGTCCCAAAGGATCCTTCATGGTAAGAAGAGAGAAGAGGCACAATTGCTATAGCCATAAGAACCTATCCACAGGTTTTTAAATTGCATTGCAAAATAACTGAAGTCACAAGACAATTCTGCAATAAGCAAACAGCTACTGGGCACATGTCATGTGCCATAGACCATATTTTATCTAAATTATCAGTGTGGAATTGAAAGTAATATGATTTCAAGAGTTTGATTTTAAGTGGGTTTCAGCACACCTTCAACATAGGACAGGTCATCCTGTTTTTAAATGGGAGAAAATGCACATGAAATTTAGTAATTTGGCCTAGATGAGGGAAGCCCAGTCTCACAGACTCCCAGATCAGAGCTTTGCCTTTATGGCACCATATGCTTCAAAGGGCCCCTCAAAATGGCATTCACCAGAAGAGTCCATCTGTGCTGGAAACAAGATTTTCTACCATCCTGCTCTTGCTTTCTCCCAAACACTTATTCTTCAACTTCAAACCTCTTCACAGGCTGCCTAAAAGGAGTTCTAAGCTTGAACAACATGCAGAGGATTCTTCTTCACATTTCCCAGGAGTAAGTGGCTAAGGGACCTGTGCTCCATAGCCTGTGACCTTCTCATTCACCTCTTCAGTGACCACCCTTATACCAGTGCCCAAGCAGCACCCACCTCACTTAAGTACTGTAGGACATCCCACAGTGGCAAGTAGAGTGATGGTCTCACAGAAGGATACACAGTCTTGGGAGTGAGCTCAGGTAAGGGGGGAAGCGGAATTGCTGCAACAAAAATGGGTGCCAGGCAAGAAATGCTCCATGAAATCATTCCATTTTTAACATGCCCCACCCCTTTGCCTGACCTCTTTGCATGACAGAACCAATAAGAGGAATGAGTCATATGCTAAGCTATGAGGTAATTCTCCAGGAATGATGATGACTGGCATGATGTAGTAGGAGTCATTCAGCATCTACACATGTCTATGGACACAGGTTTATAGGAAGGGGCCTCCTAGGGAGCAGGAGCTCTGCTTCTACCTTTGGGATGCTGATGTTAACCTAGCTCCTAGCCCTGAGCATGTGGCTCACTGACTTTATTAATGAGGTAGAATTCAAAAGGGTGAGTTTGCTGTTTGTGTATGAGGTCACACATAGCACTAAGAGCAAAGTCACACATGCTACTAACAGCTTTACAAAGGAGAAATTATTGCTTAATCTTCACCATTACAGAGGAAACCTGTATTGATATCTTCTCACTGCAGTGAAGAATCTAAAGGCTTAGAAACACACAGATCTACCCAGTTCGAAGTGCGAAATCTAAAATGTGCACTTCAGTTGCCATTACTCTCAAAAGTGTCATTAAGCTGGTGCTCATAGAAGAGATTTCTCCCTATCCTCACTCATTCTCAGAGCACAAACACCTCATAAGGGCAAACATCCCTACTCTAGTGGGTGCTGAGTACCTGAAACAGATCCAAGGAGTTTTTGAAGTTTGAAATACTTTTCTGTGTAATCTCCGGCCTCTGTCAGTACAGCGTCATAGTCTGCAAGACACCCAGGTCCTGTCACAGGCCATGCAGCCCTCACAGCAGGCCCTGCTTCAGCACTGGAGCCACCCAGAGGGAGACACCATGGAGATACCTCCCCCGTCTCAGGAATGCCCCGTGGCTGCTGGGTTGTGGCCATGAAATGCAGCACCCCTGCTGGACACACTGGGTTTACCCTGTCAATTCACATTCAGATGGACACTCTTGTCTTTCCTCACCTGGGGCACCCAGCTGTGCCTGACAGCAATCACCCCTGTGTCCCATACCTGCTAGAGGTTCAGGTCATGGGAACAGTAGACAACACAAGTGAGTAGCAGCCCTCAGTCCCAGGCAGCCTGAATTCCTGAGATGATGAACTGCTGGGGTATTGTGAGCATCAGAGGTGGAAGAAAATTAATATAAAACCCTCAGGGCTCAGTTTATGTGATCAATCTGATAGTAGAAAGTAAGTCCAAAGCCCTCCATGAAACATCAGACCCACCCATGCTGTGGAGGAGACCACACCAGCCAACACTTGCCATAGCTTGTCACAACACCCATATGCTTCCCCATAAAGCTGGCTGCATTCATAAACCCAAAGTTGGTTCCACCATGAAACATGTAGACATTGAAGGACATCCTATTTTTGATAAATGTGTACACGGTATGTTCAACCTCTGCAGAGAGGGAAGTGGAGAAAACAAAGAGAGGTAGAAATTATAAGGAGATCAAATTTTCAGGTAAAATCTTATCATTTCCTGCCCCACCGCACAATCAGTTGCTTTGCCTTCTGATATCCATCAACATTCTAATCAGAAAGTGAGTGGAACTGACCAGATGTTTTCTAGGAGAGCATGTTCTGCCCAAATCAAGAGCCTTTTCTTAGAGAAAAATTTCCCAAAATAATGCTGTAATTTGAAATTAAATTACATCTTTTAAAAATAATCAACTAGTTCTTATCTTACATATATATCTAATTTTCATTTTAATTTTGGAAGCTACAAATTATTAGTATGGCCACATTCCTACCTTCCAGGATAGTGTCTCTGCGGCCCTGGATTATAACTTTGGCCAGAGCCCAAAAGAGGCAATTCTCAAACTTAACCACAGAAACTTTCATTTGCTATCATATTTTCACAGGCATGACATCTCTCTTCCCAGGCATGGGAAGCAGGAATATCAGAACTCAGTTTGATGTGAGATTCAATTTTGCCTGTGCTCCTTACTATTTGTAAGACATGGAAAATCTATTTTCTCTCCCAGTCTCTGCCTCATTTTCTTTAAACAAAGATATCAAGTCTTGCTACAGCATGGAGTTGATGAGAAAATGAATTGATTGCTTAAAATATATAAGAATCATGGCATACTGCCCCACAGATCAAAGTTGGTGTAGTATTTTTGGATTCTTTGGGTTTTTTAAAATCTATTTTTAGTTTTCCTTAGCAATCTAATATTGTCAATGGCTTTCTTCATTTTATGAAAATTGAGCCTGTATTCATAATCACTGCACCAAAATATCCTGGTAGCAACATTCTTTTATTAAGCAAAAAGCAGGCACATTCTGACTGTGCTTGGCTCATAGTCCTTGGAGGTAAGCTTCCCAATAATCCTCATTCCGAGACAAAGACACGTGCAGTGAAGGAAGCCTGCTCTGGGTAATGTGGCTCCTACTGTACTGCTGGGTGGAATCCCAGTCTCTGCCTCCATAATCCAACTTGCAACCATCACAGTTCTAGACTCCTGATAGTGACCACCCTTCATTAGCAATGCCATAGAAAGAGTCTGTGTATTTCCTGCAGATGATGAAGACTTCGTGCAAATGCTCCACTTCTTCAGCCTAAGTTGTTATCTCTCCCCAAACCTTCTGTGATCACCTTCCTTGCCTAAGCAGGTCTATCTCCTATTTTACTTCCATCAGTGCACCTGTTTGTTTGCTCCCAAATTATACAAAATGTGGACTATACATTGGTTGTTTTACTTTCCAATGATCTGCTGAATCCACTGAATTATAAGCTCACCACAGGGTAGTTTTTATTCACGTCATTTTCACTCCTCCTCAAAGCTCCTCCAGAGCCTGGCCAACAGCACTTACATGGCAGAAATTGAATGAATATTTATAGGTGCACTAGCACGCTAATAAGTAGAGAATGATGTTGATGCCCCATGATTCAGGGAATTCTAAACTTGGAGTCAAAGACTGCAAAACACTTACCATTCGCACTTATATAATAGTGAGGCCTTCCCCAACTGTCAAACCAGCCAACCCAGTATTCCATAATTAGAATGGGCTTATTACTCTGAAAAAAACACAATACAAATACAAACCTGACAGAAATAAAATTAAGAAAATTTGACAACAAATAATTTGAAAATCAATTTTTCACCTATTTCCAAATTCAGAGCTTTTCCTTTGTGATCCCAATTTCCTAATCCTTCCCTTTATTACACCTACACCATCATCCATAAATTTGGCCCCTGCATTCCTGCTCCACATCCAGGGTCACCAGACTCCATCAAGCCTATTGTGCTTCCCCGGTTTTCTTCAATAGCAGAATCTGAACCTTCCTTATCGAAGACTGGCATGGAGAAAATCTATTCTGGATACACAAGGACAACAGCCTGTTTGCTTAAGTAGAAACTGAGGTTCAGATATCACAGAGTTGTACTCATACGCAGGACTGGGTCTAGCTATTAGCCACTAAGTTACATTTTCCACTGCATATATACACTGTCATTTTCTCTATGCCTTTATTTCATTTTAGTTATCTCACCTGTAGAGGAGTATCCAATGCAATTGTGTTTCTGATCACTTCTTTTCTATCTTAATTTTTGTTATTCTATTTTTGCTAAGAAACAATTTAGTACACAAGAATTCATAAATGTTTGCACATCTTTATGGTTTCTACTTTTCAATTCTATGAAATAGTTGTCACAGTAAAATTATAAATAATTATGCAATTATATTATTTATATTTAGTTATACTTAATTATCACATCAAAAAAATAATGAACTTTTACTGAGTGCTGGGCACTAACTAAAGTACATTCTGAAACCCTGTATCATTCTTATTGTTTTTGCTTTGTTTTGTTTTTGTCTATGTTGTTGGCATTTTGCTATTGTTCTTTTTTTAAATTCTCTTTAAAAGAAATAAAATAAATTATGTTACCAAACTTTTTCTGTGAAACAAGCCTAGATGAAAGATACAATGTGTCCCTATGTCACAAATAAAGAAACTGAGGTCAGGTAACCAGCTCAGACTCACTCAGTGGGAAGTGCTAGAGCTGACAATCAAACTGACACAAAATAAGACATGCCCATGGAGATCAAGGTAAAGAGGAATTCTAATACACTGGTAGTAGGAATAAAATCTAGTGCAGACATTGTGGAAACCAACAGCATAGAAGTTCTTCAAAACACCATAAATAAATCCACACATGCTCAGGAATTTCCACAACTGAGTATATGTCCAAAGGAAAGGAAATAAACATGTCAGAGACAAAAGGACTTCTGCATTTATTGCAGCACTATTCACAATGGCTGGAATACAGAACTGACCAAGAGGGCAGGGGATATAGCTCAGCGGTACAAGCGCCTGCCTGGCAAGCACAAAGTCCTGAGTTCGATTCCCAGTATACCCCCTCCTAAAAAAAGAACTGACCAAGATACCCATCACAGGTGAGTGGAAAAGGAAACACCAGAGAATGCTTGAAATAATATTCTTCAGACCTAGAAAACAGTAAAACCCTGTCACTTTCAGTGACAGAAATTGTAAGGCATTAGGTTAAGTAAAATATATCCAGTTATCTGACAATAACTGTGTGTTCTCATTCACACAAGGAAGATAAAAAGATGATACTGTATAAGAAGATAATAGAATAGAATAGTAATAGAATAGTGATAGCTAGAAGATAGGAACATAGTAAATAGAGGGCAGTTAGATAAAAGAAAGTTCTAGTATTTACTGCAGAGAAGGGTGACTAAACTGTCAAGAAAAATTAACTATACAAAAAGCTAGAAAAGAAAACTTTGTTGCAAATACAAATGAGAATGTCAAAAGAAATGAAAGCTATAAGTTCTCTGATTTGGTCAAGATATTTACACATTTAAATTATCACATTATGCCCCAAAATATGTACCATTAGTTTATCTCAATTAAAATTTTATTTTCTTCTATTTTTTGATACTGGGAGTTGAACTCAGGACCTTGCACTTGCCAGGCAGGCACTTGCACTGCTGAGCTGCATCCCCAGCCACTCAATTACAATGTTAAATCAAGCTAAAAGCATGCTGTCTGAAAAGATGAATAGATCTGTTAGACTTCTTGCCATATTGACCAAAATTACAAGAATCACAAAATATTGATATCAGGAATAAAAGTAAAACTATTATGACTGGTAGCCAAGACTTTAAATGAATAGCAAGGAGTTATCACAAATAACTCCTTGCTGATGGATTTTAAAATGTAGTTAAAATGGAGCAGGAAAAATAGAATTCATGCCCTCACAAACAGAAATTACTAAAATCTATGAAGAAATAAGTATCATGAATTATCCTGTATCCATTAAAGAAATTAAGTTTGTAGTTTCTAAAATGTTCTAAAAAGAAAAGATCAGCTCTAGATGATTTCACTGATAAAAATTTACCAAAAATTAAGTTAAAATCTAACAGTGACATACAAACTCTTCCAGAAAACAGAAAAAGAAAAAATACTGCCAAACTCATTAGATTAGGCCAGCATTATTCTAATTTGAAAATCAATGACATTTCAAAACAAGAAAATCAAAGATCAATATCTTTTAGATATATGAAAGTAAAAATTCTCAGCAACATATGAGCAAACAGAATCCAAACTCTCTTGTTGCTGAGACAAAATACCTGACACCCAAAATTAAGGAAGGAAAGGTTTATTTAGCTCACAGTTTGTGGAGGTTTCAGACCATACACAACCAGCTCCAAGGCAGAGTGGCACATGATAGAGGGTAACAGTTCATGGTGAAAACAGCAAAAGCAGTAAGAGCAGAAAGGGAGGAGCAGCAGAGAGCAAGCCTCTTTCCCTCCCTTATATTGTATGCAAACTACTGTCCCAGAGCGCGTGTAGCAGTCACACTCATAATCCCAGCATTGGAACCATGAGTCAGTCAAAAACTCTAGAAGCTCACCTCATGACTTCATGAGGCTTTGGGGAGACATCTAGACATAAACCATGACAGTCACACAATTTTTTATTACCCAGTACATGCAAATGGCATGTTTACACTGTGCTGTAGGCTACTAAATGTGCACTAACATTATGTCTAAAGAAGCAATGTGCATAACTCAATTAAAATTCTCCATTATGCGGCTAGAACTGTAGTCCATCATGTCAAATGACTCAAGCCAGACATGAAAAACAAATACCAAGTGTTTTCATATATTAATGGAAACTCTAAAGCTGCTCCAAAAGAATGGAGGAGGATAATGGTCACTAAAGACTGAAAAGGGCAGGGGTGAAGAGGACAGAAAAAAGTTAGAGAAGGTGCACAAAACACAGTGGAGGGATCAGTTTTGGTTTCATTGAGCATATAACTATTGCATACAACAGTCTATGACATATTTCAAAATAAGCAGAAGAGTATGAGATGCCCGGTGTGATGCAGGCAGTGCCTCCCCCTCACTGTCCCTGCAGAAAGCAAGCACACCCCCAGACAGCTTGGAGCCCTGCCGAGGACCAAGGTGCAGACACACAGTCTTCTATCGATCCTGTGTGGACTGGACACCATTGTGTAGACAATGAAGCCATGCGAAGAGAGTATACATGGCTAGGATATCCTACCTGAACTTGAAGAAGCTGATGAAAAGAATTCTTCTGAAGTGTCCCCAGATTGACAGCGGCCAATACTGTAGAGAGAAGAAACCACCATGTGCAGTGACAAGGGTCATCGGGGAAGGGAAGGACAGCCAGCCCAAACATGGAAGAAATGTGCTAAGGACTGAGAGTTACCAGGCACTGCCCACAGCCCACTTGAAAGGCACAGAGGGTCCCCATGGCCATCACCTCATTGCTGAGTACCTGCAAGGACCCTCATCTTTCCTGAGATGGGCAAAGAAACTTAACCACCTTTGTGCAGAGTTGGGGGCCAGGCCAAACCACTCTACATGAATAGAACTAGGGACAGAGTGCAGGTCCCCTGCCCCAGGCTCAGCATTTCCGGATTACACAGTGATGTGGGAAGAACCACTAAAAAGGAGAGGATCTCAGTCCAAAGTAGCTGTAGTCTGTGCTAAAGATCAGCAGACAGATGCTCCCTGGACCAAGGCAGGTGGCTGCCCATACCTCACTGTTGTCACCCTGTGCTTGTGTACCTAAATATCCAGCTACTATGTTCTCTAAGGTCCAGGTGTCTACAGTGACCTTTCCTTACACAGCTGTCTTCTGTCTCCCTATGGGACTGTCCGTGTTGGTGAGTAGGGCCAGACCCTACACCACAGCCACACCCAAAATAGAGTCCTGGACACAGAAGTTGTGACTCATGGAAAGATGTACACTGGGTGAGGAGGCCCAATTCTGCTCTGTGTAAAGACAAGGGCAGCAAAGACAGTGGTGGAGATGACAATTGAACTCAGGCTTTGATGCTGCACCTCACCGTTTGGGATGTCACATCTCCAGGATTACCTCAGAGGACCAAGGAAAGAGAGCCAAGAAGACATGCACTTGGCTCTCTAAGGTTTGTTCGTGGCTTATACTGGCTGTCTAAGAGCCTCAGTTCTGCCCTGAAAAACCTCTAAATTTGTACCTCCTTTGAGCGAGCCATTCACAACTTCTTCGTAATGATCACAGGTGAAGAGTAGCTCTACAATCCCTCTTTGCAGCAGAGCCTGTTGAGGAAATTACACAAATGCACTTACCTTCCCTCTGTACACTTAAGGGAAGGAGGTGAAAGGAAATTAGGGCATAAAGAGAGTTCTGTTCAGAAAGGTAGAGTATGACATACAGAAAGACCTATACCTTGAATGCTAAGTGGCCCCTAAAGGCCATGTGTGAGACTTGTTCCCCAGCACAGTGCTCATGGAGGTGGTGGAACTCTGGGGAGGTGGGGTCTGAGGGGGACGTTCTGTTATTGAGGGTCTGGTCCCTAGGGGGCTGTGGTCCTCCAGTTCCATCCTTTTCCTTTTCACTCCAGTCACATGGTGAGAGGCGCTGCACCACTGGGCTTTTCCACCTGATGTGCTTCCTCACCACAGGCACAAAAGCACTGGTCCAGTGATCACAGCTGAGAACCCAAAACTGTGAGTCAGGATGAGCCACTACCACTCACAAGCAGATGACCTCAGGCAATTGTTACTGTAATAGGAAGCAAATGGACAGAAAAGGAGTGGGATTCAGAGTCTGACCCCTCTGCAAATGAGGAAACAGGGAACCATTGTCCTGGCTCAGCCTGGCTTATGTCCTGACACCCTAAAAGCAGCCCAGGGAGTACTCTGGCACCCAAAGTCACAACTTCCAGAACGAAGAGGGTACAGTTGCCAGAACACATCCCGGGGAGAAGGCAAGTCACACTCAGAGAGAGAAAGAAGACTTGGGGGTCACTTTGTTCGTGAAGGGAGAGGCTGAGCCAGTAGGATCCAGAGAATGAGGACAACTTCAGAGAGCTTTTGTCCTGCACAGACACTGTCATAGAAAGCAAGGGCACATGCATGGCCATGAGAGAGGGCTAACCTGAAAATTCTATCTAATGAGGACACAGGGAGCAGACGGGTGGTCGAAGAGCCAGGGTGTCATCCTGTGTGTCTCTTATGCTCACTGAGCCAAATTTAGGCCCGGGAATGGAGTCCAGGAGTCAACTTTTCCAATCAAGGAGAAACACTTCTATTTGTGTGAGAATGCCTGAGGAGGGCAGAGCAGCCCCTGCAGCAAGACAGCAGGACAATTAGTCTCGCACTGTCCACATACTGGAGACACAGCCCCAGGGCAGGGCCGGCTCAGGCACAGACTCCAATCCTGTACCTTCCCCTCTCCATTCCCATCCAGTGACCCCTCTCTCTGCCAGGCCCTTCTCCCAAGGTCTCTGTGTCTCCAGAATGACAGCATGGGCCCTAAATGCTGCCAGGAGCCCCAAGAACAGGGTCCAGCTCAAGCTTATTAGCTCCCTACAAGTGGGAAGTAAGGTCCTCAGAAGGACCTGAGCCACCAGCAAGGACACCAATGGGACCACACTGAATCCCTGGCCTCAGATGTCCATATACAAGAAGCAAAGGGACCAGAAGAAGGGCTTCATGCTCCATGTTGGGAGCTGTAAGCATACAGCATCCTCGCCAGATTTCAGATGAACTGTGTACTGTGGATGCAGAGTCCCCAGCCTCCAGCCTGTGAGTGATCACGGAGAAGGACAGCAGAAAGGAATCCTCCTCTGAAATCACACCCTCTCCTTGTCAGGCCACTGAGTGCATCCTGACCAGTGTGAAGTCACAGAGAAACTGAGCCCCGTCTGCTCCAGGCTCCTGATGGACAGAGCCTGGCAGCCTCACCACACAACAGGGACCAGACACGCACAGGGGAGAAGACGGGACCAGTGAATGTGGCAAAGCCAGCATACTTACCTCCTTAACATAGGCCATGTAGTCCTTATCCTTGTTATATGACCCGTACTCATTCTCCACCTGCACGGCGATGACAGGGCCACCTTGGCGGTACTGAGAGACAAGCAGAAGAGGATTAGAGAGAGAAGACACAGAGCAAGAGGCTGGAGCTGCAGAGTTTGTGTCTGAAGAAAGTGCAACTGAGTCACCGGTGCACTTGGATCTCAGCCACTTAGAGCCCGGCTCAAACTAAGAGAAGTCAGCTTCATTTCTCTTAGAGACTTGGCATGGCCAGTTTGCAGGTGGTGGTAGAACAAACTCAAATGACCATAAGAAGAAAGGTCACTTGGCCCTACCTGGAGAGGAACCATTCTGGGAATCAAGTGATCAAAATACGCATCAACAGCACCCACAAAGCTCTTTTCCGTGGTTCTCAGTTGGGTCTTGGGGTTCTGCAGGAGCCAGCTGAAGGGGAAAGGGAGCACATCTGAGAGAGACAGGAAGCAGGAGGAAGGACACATCTAGCCTGCTGAGCACCACAGACAGCCTCCGAGAAAAGCTACTGCAGCACTGCTGCACGTCTTTGTGTCCTCCCTCACCCATGGTGCTCCAGCCCTTGGGGTCCTGAGGGTACCTTCACCTGCAAGCTCGCACACTATCCACACAGACCTGTGGTGTTTAGAAGGAAGCAGGCTACCGTGTCCCAAGATACCGCAAATCTAGAAGAGCTTTCAGCTCCATGAGGTCCCACAGCTGTGTGCTAGAGGGACTGGGGTCACTATCCTCTAATCCTGTCCTCCTCTCTATCTCAGGCACTAGACACATGGGCTAAGCAGAGTGCCTGACCTGGGCACAGGTCATGTCACCTGTAAGACCGAAGACTTCAAGCTCAGGACAAGAAATGACGGACCAGTGACCCCCACTGCAGGGCCCCAGTGAGGTGGGGCCAGGCCTGTGCTCAGACCTCTTTCCTGTGCGCTGAGTGCTGGCTTCCATGAGGAAGAAGGAAAGGAGGGGCGAGGGAAAGAGGAGCATCCTCAGCAAAATAGAGAAAAGTCCCCAGTGGTGAGAAGGTGCCCAGGTCTTGTCAGAGCCTCCTGCATGCTTTCCACCTTCCAGTCCTTCATTCCTGCCCCATGGGAAAACAGGTGGATACACCCCTCTCTCCCTGGGGCAAGAGGCTAAGAACACTCCTGCCATCTGGGCTGCAGGCCCACACACCAAGCCCACGGCTCAAGTCCTCCTCTGAGCCACAGATCACAGCGGCACCACCCCACATCTTGGGAACAAGGCTGTTCCACAGTCGGGTCCCGTGGTGCATGGCTCTGCCACTCGAGTACATCAGCTCATTCCGTGAAAGTGGCTTGCATCACCACTTGATAAAGATGCTACTCAAAACACTGCACTAAACTGGGACTCAGGACTCGTGGCTTGGCTCACCTGGGCAAGCCTCCGAGGTCGATCTCAGCACAGATGTACGGGCCTGGACGCAGAATCACCCACAGCCCAACCTCTGCAGCCAGCAGGACAAAAGCCCTGGGAGGGAAACAAAGTTAGCCATCTTGTGATGGTCCACAGGGAGGCCACGTAGGGAGATGGGCGCCCACAGGCATCCTGGTGTCAGAAAAGTGACTGTCTTCAGGGGCTCCCTCTTCCTCTCTCATCAGGGGAGACTCTGTGATGAGCCCCAGTGCACTCCCCAGAGCATAGAGTCCCTACACCATCTCACAGCTTAGAAACCATGGGCATGGGCTTGCCTGGGCTTTCAGTATCAGAACCACACATACAGTGCCAGGAAGGCATGAAGAGAAACAGCATCAGACAGGGTACCAGAGCCATAACAGTGAAACTGACGCCACCACACCAGAGGGCAGCCCCCTCCCCAGCCTCATTGCAGGGCCTCCCTGCAAAGTCAGCCAGCTTCTTTGGGGCTTCGGCCACAGGCCAGCCCTGGGATTCAGGTCATTGCTAGAAGGCATCCCAGCCCTGGGTGTACAGCCTCTCCCAGCATCCTGAGAACAAGGCTGCAGACCCCAGTCCTCTCTGGGTCCTGTGGCTCATCTGAATCACCCCTGGGGTTCCTCATCAGCCCCCAGCTGCCCCCTCTCTACCACTCTCCCAATCCAGGTCACAGAGGAGCAACACCACATACTCGAGGTCCAGGTTCCCAGAAAAGTCGAATTTGCCTCTTTCTGGCTCATGGAGGTTCCATGGAATGTAGCTGAAAGAAGGAGCAAGAAATTACAACAGCATCTCTCTTCTTTCCTTCAGCCACTGCCCCAGAACCAAAGCCAAGCCCAGCATGGTGGTAGCTCTGTATTGCAAGGTGTTGAAGTTTGCCATGGACATTAAAGCTTTGCCATCAGAAAAGTGACTGTCTTCAGGGGCTCCTTCTTCTGTTCCCAACTCTGATCCAAATGACAATTTTCCTAGGGCTCTAGATTCCAAGGATTTATATGCATTTTCTCACTCATTGCCTCATTCTCAGTTAAATGCAAAGAAATAGCACAGTAACTATGAAAAGAAAAGTAAAACTCGACCAAAATATGTGCTGCTTCCCAGTCATTATTGCCAACAATCAATCAGAATACAAATGGAGGAGCTTTCAGGAGGACAAGGGAGAAACACTATGGGAGGGGAGGGCTGAGGCAGCAAGGTGCACCCCTGCCCAGGCCTCAGCACAGGACCAGGAGTCTGCAGGGTGAAAGTCAAGCGTGGAAGTGGAAAAAAAAGAATAGAAGTGGATTTGAGGCTCTTCTTAGTAGGTAACACTATTTCTGTGTGTCAGAAGTAAACTTTGGAAGGTTGTGCACCTAACATCCTATTTAGCTCTGTTTTTTACTACACAATTCTGTGAAGTAAAAGTTTTTGAGGATAAGTCTGGTGTATGGTGGCAGAACTGATAGTATTAAGATCTGTTGGTGTGAAGAGGAATGAAAAGTTGGTTTGCTAAAAACAATATACACCGCACCATTTATAGGTATACATTATGAGAAAAGAATGAATAAAATAGCTAATGGAAATTTGCTAAAAACAATAATATCCAAAAAATACAGATCAGACAAAACTACTTTAGCAAAACCCATAGTAGGAAAATGGGTTTTATGGTAAAGTCACAAATAATGAACACCCTTAAATGAAAATAAATGATCTACACAGAAAATATATTCTTATGGCTTTCATTGCTCTTAATAACATGGCTTCAAATAAAAGAGAAGCTGACAGATTAGAGATGAAGTAAATATTTCAATTTCACCATCAGAGTAGAATGACTGAAGATACCCTGCTGAGAAACTAAGATAATCAGCAGTAAAAAATTATAAGGATATGGATTTCAACACCACAATGACAAGGTGGGATCTAATGTATATACTAAGAGTCTAGTAATAACAGATGGATCCTTTACATTCTTTTTCAAAACTGAATGGAATAACCATAAAGTGTCCACATGCTCTAAGGAAATCTCAACAAATTCTAATGATCTGTATCACTTCGTCTGTGATAAATGCAACCAAATTATAAACTGTGAGTTAAAATAAGAAAAATTAAGGTAAGTAAAGCAGAAAGCATGTCCTGTTTGATTCCCAGTCTTCCCCTAAAATTTTTAATAATCATTTGTGAGTAATTTCTAATGGGTCAAGAAAGAAAATACAATAAAATTCATGAGATATTTGGCACTGTTTCAAAAGCAGTATAGTATAAGGTCTATGGGAGATGTCACTATTCAAAAACAGAAAGACCTAGGGAGAGATGAGCTAAATACACAGCCCAGAAGACAAGCAGCAAGGAAAGAAAAGGAGGAGGAGATGGGAAGAGAAAGAAGAGCAAGAGGAGAATAGAAAAAGGAGGAGTAAGAAAACAGAGTAGGTCAAATAAAGGAGACAGGAATTTATATAGCATGAAGAAATTGTGAAATATAACACTAAATGACATAGAGGTGATTAAAAAGCTACAAAGTAATTATTTAAGAAAACTGAAAATTAGATAAAATTAAGTAAGAAAAATGAACGACAGCCCATGTACACAATACAAAAAACTCTACATCACTTCTAGTGTGTTCAGCAAAGAAAATCAGCTTTAAAACCCAATCAATCCAAGGAAAGAGGGAAAGAAAAAGTATATAAGGAGAAAGTAGGTTATACTCAGGAGAAGTGGAAAACATGACTTTGTAACCACTGAGAGTACAAAAGGTTTCACCTCCTGGTCTGAGGGAAAAGAGAAAAGAAAGAAAGAAGGAACAAATAAAAATACATATATACTCACAAGATACCTAATATAATTGTACTACTAATTTCTATTGCTTTATTGAAAGGAATAGTTATGTTTAATTGTTTGATCAACCTTACATGCCTATATTTGATTATCTGAGTAACCAATTTGAAGATAAAAATATATAATACAACAACCATTGTTAATTTCCTATCACCTTGTTTGAAATTCTGTATCATTTTTATTGTTCTTGTGTTGTTTTGTTTACATCTTTGTGTTTGTTAATTTGTTTTTGTTCTTTTCTCTTTAAAATAAAATTTAAAAAATTTTCAGCTTGAAACCACAAAAGATAGCAATCACAAAATTTTACAGGTGAGTTTTTAAAACCATTCAATATAAAGTTAATTACTATACAAAACATTTTGAATAAGTAAAAAGATATACTCATTAGCTTTTTTAATAAGATTGACATTAAAACTTAAAAAGACCATGAACAAAAATAAAATTTATGTTCAATTTCATTTATAATCATAGATGATTATTTAAAAAAGAACTAGCAAACCACTCTACCAATCTATGTGTGTGTGGGCCTGTGCATGTCAGACCTTTAAACAGAGTTAGTCCCAGAAATGTAAAGTTGATTGATATCAGGAAAATTGTCAGTTATTCACCACTTCAGAAGAAGAGTGGAGAAAAACTATGTAATCCTCATTATGAACAAATTAGCAGGTCTCAACCAAGCTCAATACCTGTGGAGAAGCATGGAGCTCAGTGGTAGTGGAAGAGTAATACCTTGTGTCCATGAGGCCATAGGTTTGATTCTCACCCTCCCCTAAAAATACTCATACTTCTAATTAAGTCATTTGCACATGAAATGAGCTACTTCTCAGTTACTGCCTCTCAGCTTCAAATGCCCCCTGCAATAATGCACAAGGCCTCAAGTCTTCTCCTTTACAGTGAGCACAGCATCAGGTTCCACCACTGGAGACAGTGAGGACATGCAGGAGAAGGGACTAGGATTCTGCAGCACTCCACATTTCTGTGGTCTAGCAGGATAACTTCTAGTGGTGCAGATGTGTGAGGACAAACTGTGTGCTTCCTTTTAAAAAAAAATGCAAAATAGCATAAGTATAACTTCAAATAGCCAGGAAAGAATTAGCCCAAGAGAAAATCTGGAGTTAAACATTTGGGCACTTTAACATAATTAATATAGAGACATAAAATGTTATATTATGTGCCCCATTGCATTTTGTTAATTTTTTTCTGCCCTTACTCTTTCTTTATTGAGAGTTTGAATTTCACAGGACTACGTTTATTTTTTGCTGATGTTAACTAGTAAGACTCCATGGTCTGACCATGAACAACAGATCTTTCTAATTACAGCTGAAAAGAAAAATCATTAGGTAGGCTGGGGATGGAGCTCCATGATCCAGTTCTTGCCTAGTGTACACATCAGCAGGTCATTATCCCTGGGTTTGGTCACCAGCACCAAATAAATATCCTGCATCCCAAAATGTGTGAAAGATTTTTCAACTGCAATAAACACTTCGGAGAGCAGTGAGTGTAACATTTAGTCCCTGGGAAAGTCTGCATGTAGGCAGTGAGTGGTGTGGCTGCTGGCCCTGCAGCTTGAGTGAGATGAGCCACAGCTCCACTGTGACAATCTGTGCCTTTGTCACTGTGTGACTTTGGGAAAATGATTCAGCTCTTCACCTGAGTTTCTCATCTGCAAAAGATAACAGCACAGCTCAGCACAAAGGATCATCACTGCGGGGAGCTGAATTCACACTGTCAAGGGTTGATACCCAGTGTGCCTGGCTGCACACAAGCACTGCATTGTGTTTCTCAAATAAATAACATTGTTCATCTAGTTTATGGCGGTGCTATTTCTGAACTTAGTATCTCTGTCTCTGGCAGTGGAAGAGCCACCATCTGAGGTCTCTTCCCTGCCTCGGCCGGAACATCAGGAGTACCAGCGCCACCAAGTGAACACACACGTCCTCCCTCGGGCTGCCTCCACAGGGCAGCCATCTGCAGAAGTTTCTCTTGTGCTCATTCTGCAGTCCACCCTGACTGACGTCTTCTACTTAGATTCCAGATCCCATGGAAATGGGGCTGTTTTGAAGGGAACTCTGCTGCCCCTAATTCAGCATGATTTTCATTTGGGTGTGGTTTCTACTTGACTAGTCCCGAGTGCACAGCAGGAGCCTTCATTTTAGGGAGGTTTCAGGGAAATGCACATTCTGAGCTTAGGGACACACCTACAGCACACAAAGGAAGGGCTCTATCCCTGCACAATGCTGTGGACCACACAGATTGCATCATCCTGAGCAGCTGAGCCCTGTGTGCCCAGCTTCTCCCTGCACAGTGGGGGCAGTGCTCTCCCTGTCACAGGACAGTCCTGGTCACCAGGGACCAGGAACCCACTGAGAAAATGCCTGGTCCTCTGCGTGTGCTACCTGATGCTACTTTGTCAGTCTTTTCCTAATCCTGACGACTCCTGCTCATTCCTATCTAAACTCTTCTAATTGACTAAGGCAAGTTTGTATTGCCTTTGGCCACTATTATTGAGGACATGTGCTTGTCAGGCCTTGTGATAGATAAATAACACATAGATTTTAGGTCATTTAATCATTAAGTCAAATTTCTGAGCAGGACACCCAGCCCTGGTATGGATGTGCAGTGGAAGACAGAGGTGGGCACAAGGCCAGGTATTTATGTGACTCTAGATCCCTAGTTGGCAGGTGTTACTGAGCTGTGTGTGCTTCCCCAGCTTCAGTCCTGTGAGTCCTTTCCACTTATTGACACTGGTGCTTTTCTCAGTGTTCATTTTTATATTGTGGTCATTTCTGTACATTTCTCCATGTACACATATGAAAGTTGTTTTTCAGATGTGTGTGTGTTTGGAGCGCTTATCTGTGAGTATGCCTTGAGCAAGTCATTCAGTTCAGTGCTTCTGAGGAACCAATTCCCTCACCACACATCCCTGAGAAGTCACTTTTCCTTTTGCATTCCTCCCATCCACGCCTCACCAAGCTCTGAGCACAGAGCAACCAAGCACGGTTGACAGTCAGGTGAACACGGAGGAGCAAGCTAACCTTCAAGGGCCTTCACTCTGCCCTCAGATGGTAGGATTAATGGGCTCTGGGGGAGGGCCCCTCAGGACCCTGTGTGAAGGTAGGCTGTGGGCCAGGCCAGCACTTACGTGGCGACAGTGTTGAAGCCGCAGGCCTTCAGCTTCAGCAGGCGGTCCCTCCAGTACTCCCTGGGCACCCGGAAGTAGTGGATGGAGCCTCCAAAGATCAGGAACTTGTGCCCTTCCAGGGTAAAGTGTGCACTGCCCCCAGCGGTAGTGCCAGTGCCAAGGCCCAGAGATCTGTTCTGCAGCCCGGCAGGGGTCAGATGGGACGAGTTAAACCTGGATGGGAGAAGGAGAGAGGGCAGACAGTGTGGAACCGCAGAGCCCCCACAGAGGCCAGCCCCTGTTGACAGGACGTACCCACCCGCACAGCCCCTCACAGTGTTTTGTCCAGGGAAAGAGAGAGCCGCCACCCCACTGGCAAACCTGGGCAGACGCGTGCTCGCCTTCGGTATAAGACTCCCTGTGGCCCCAAAGAGCAGGGTTAGAACCAGAAAAACGACTGCCAGGAAAAGCACGCCCAGGATCCGCTTCCAGGAAAGACACGGGCTACAGGGAGAGCGAGACTGTGGTGAGGAGGTGAGGTGCAGCTGCTCATACTGAGGACAGGAAGCTGCTCTAGCACCCATGAGAAGCCAGAACCCCTGGGACTCTGTCACAATCAGGTCTCATCCTGGGAGAGCCTACCACCCCACTGGGTCCTCCCATGTCCCCACATTGGCTGGTCCTGTGACAGGACAGAGCTGACTCTGGAAGAGGGTCCATGACTGTCTGGGCAGTCCTCCAGGGTCAAGAGGTGTCCACACCGAAGTTTGTTGCAGGGCTCACTGTGCAGACACTCAGGGGACCACATGAGGGTGGTGTCTGCACAGCTGGGAGAGTGGAGCAGAAGGGGAGACCGTGGAGAGACACCTGTAGTTTGAGGGTTAGAGGCACTGGGACCCCATTTGTCCCCAGAACCTAGACCATGTGCCTATGCACAACCCGCTGAGCAGCAGGCCCTAGGCAAGATCTAGGAGTCTCCCGTGGAGCACCCCCGGGTGATGGGGGCAGGTGGGCTGAGGAAAGGCGAGATCTTGGGCTGCAGTAGGGCTGGACAGAGTTGTGGGTCACCTGAGGTGGGTGTTGGTGCCCATGGCCTAGGGCCAGCGAGTAAAGGTCCCACGCAGCTGTGGAGCTCTGGCAGCTGAGGATGCTGAACTGTGAGGCAAGGTCTCTCCTCCTGGATAATATGGCAAGGTCTGCCCTTGTCACAGGGTCCTGGGCCTAACCCTCAGGGTCACCTCCTGCCACAGAGCTCACCTGGTTCAGAGCCTGACCGCAGCTCCTGGGGAGGCTGTTGGCTCTTACCCTAGTACAGTGGAGCCTGAGCCCAGAGTGCCCGCCGAAAGTCTGGATGCAGTGCCTTCTAGCCCCGGGAAGTAAAGAGGAATGATCCTGGGTTATCTCCTGGCCATGGGTTTTCTCAGCTAAGCGTCACAGATGTCTGGCACAGAAAGTGAGGTCAGTGGGAGGAAGAAGGGGAGAAGTGAGCATGGTGTTCCTGAGAGTGAGAAGTCTGGATGACACTGTTCATTAGGTTCCAGAAGCTGCACTTCAGAGCAGTAATGGATGAGTCAGGGAACAGCTGTATAGTTTCAATAGGACAAGCAAATGCTAAAATAAAGATTGTACTGAGTGCGGTGGACATGCAGGGGACCTTGACCTATGTTATGTTCTGGAGGAACTGCTACACTGTTTCACACGGCTGTGCACTGACCAGCACTCCCACTAGTGGGTGGCAGTTTTCCCTTTCCTCCACCGCTTTGCCATCCTCTTGTCTTTCTCATGAAAGCCATTCTAACCGTGGTGAGGTTGTATATCATTGTGGTTTTGATTTATACCTCTGTGATGATCAGTGCTGAGCATTTTTTCATATACGTGGTCTTTTGTATGTCTACGTTTGAGAAACATCTGTTTAGGTTTATTTATTTATGTATTTATTATTTTTTGAGACAGGGTCTAGCTATGTTGCCCAGGTTGGCCTTGAACTCACAGCAGTCCTCCTGCCTCAGCCTCCCAAGTGCAGGGACTACTGGCATGCACCACCATGCCTGGCGTCTATTGCTATTTTAAAATCAGAATGTTTGCATCTAATTTCTCTGAGTGGCCACACTCCACTCTTGATTGTATCCTAAAATCTCTGCCTAATAAACTCTTTCCGTGCCTCTTACTGACATGTCCTGAAAATTCTTTTTCCTCAATGGGAGTCAGTGAACCTCCAAGTGTTCTGTGTTTAGGGTGGGTCTTAAGCCACCTAAGCTCAGCTTTGGGAGCCCCTCCAAGCCAGCCAGGTAGCATTTTCTCCCGGCAAATCAGTCGTGGTAAAGAGTCAGCAAGAGACGACTTTGGTGAGTCCAGTCACAGGCTGCTCGTTCTTCTTCCCCACTCCCTCAGCCCTTTGCCCCCTGAGCATCGTTTCTCTCTTTTTCTCTCTCCCTGTGTACAAACTTCTGCAACCTTAGGTTGTTTCTTTTCAGGAGTTAGAGGTTTCCAAAGTCTTTAGGAAATCAGCGCTTGTGCACAGAAGACCAAAGACAAGAGCTCCCGCTAGTTGGAAATGGGAGAAGGGCTCTCGGTGTGCTCTGAGACACTGGGGCCACATCAGGTGCTGCCGGGTCAGCCTACCTTGTTCTGTGGTCAGATGGAGAGATTACATTTGCTCACCAGGGAGGAAAAAATAAATAAGATCAGGGTACTTTTCTTTTTTGCTACTGAATTTTGAGTTTCTTGCATATTCTGAATATTAACCTCTTATCAGATGTATAATTTGCAAGTACTTTCTCCCATTCTTTACCTTGTCTCTTTATTCTCTTGTTTATTTTGCTGTGCGGAAACTTTTTAATGTGACGTAATTGCTTTTTTCTTTTTGTCTTTTTGAGACAGGGTCTTGCTATGCAGTTGAGGCTGGCCTCGAACTCGCAACGATCCTCCTGCTTCCGCCTCCCACCTCAGCATCCTGAGTGCTGGGATTACAGGTGTGTGCCACCATGCCCAGTTTGATTTGATGTAATCTCATTTGTCTATTTTTACCTTTGTTTTATGAGTTTTGTGGTTAATATACTACTTTCATCTGGTGTTTATTTTATTTCATCTCTTGAAAATACCATGCCACTTCCCTCTAGCTTATGTACAACCCAGCCAGAAAAAGGAAGTAACATAAAAAGAATGGAAATAAAGTACAGAGGGAGCCAGTTAGTTACCACTTCAAAGTACCCTTTTAAATGTGGCTTAATCACTTGGCCTTTTGTGGTTGGCTAAAATTCAGCTATCTGTATCAAGATCAGGTTACTCCCTTCCCCCAGAAAAAGGGAGTAGGTTACTCTTTGTTTATATATCTACTGAGGTTGCCATTCAGTATGTACAAAGATACCTTTAGGCTAAACTTAAAATTATGTACAGAGGCTTATTTAAGCAAACTTAATTCAATGAAATAGTTCCCCATTTATTTGACCAAACATTTAGGCATTAAAGTCACTCTTTGTCACTATGATAAGTGGACTTATTTGACCTCAAATCCTGCTAGAAATGGCAGTGAAATAGTTTTTGTAAAAAGGAAATAGAGTAGAAAAAATCTGATTAGTTCTTATCAGGTTACTTCAGGTTACTTTGGGAGGGAGGGAAGGGTTAAAACAGAAACCATTTTCTTCTTATGCTGACTTGGGTAGATTGGAGCATCTGCTTTACAGAGGATGGTTTGGAGAATCTGCTTTCTTAAATTTCAGTTTGATAATGTAAGTATACGTAACTCATTTGGGTTTGGTCTGGTCTTTGCAGGAATTCAATCTGAAACAATAACCGTGCCTCTCTTAATTTTCACCTTTTTGGTGGGGCCTTCCCCTCCGTGACAGTATGGCCACAGTGTAAGGCATTCACACTATTCTTGCTGACCATCATTTTGAGTTTCTGGTCAACACATCACTCAAAGCTTATGGTATCATCACACCATATTTTATTCTTTATATGAGGTTTTTGTGTTTTTGTCATTCCAGTTGAAGAGAGACCATTTGACACTCTATGGATGACTGCATACAAACATTTAAGCATTTTGAGAGAACACTGCACATCAAGGAGACTACTATTACAACTATTGAAAGAATAATACAAGTGTTTGAAGTATACTCTTTAGCTGAGGTCATCATGAACCAAACTAGCCAGAGTCAAATAAATTAAGAGAAGAGCCTGTTAAAGAGAGTCCACTGGTTTTAACCAAGCAGCCTGTTCCTGAATTTCTCACAACTGCATCTTTCTAACACCCAAGGCATTGACCTTTCATGTGTAAGAAACATTGTCAGCACCCAAGCCAAATCATCCCTGTTCAGCCAGTGAGTAATTTTAAACAACACTATTATCTAGTACAACTTTAGCAAGAGAATTTTTTAGTTTGTTGTGCAACCAAAGCTGTTGCAGGAGACCCTGCTATACAGCTTATTGTGATTGTGCAGGATAAATTTCTAATCACTGTCCAGCCAGTTGGGGGGAAAAAAAGGCTCAACAATTAATTCTCATCCAAAAGGGCTAACGCCCCCTGACAATGTTCTTTTTAATTTGTGAGGTAGGTTAAGAAGAGTGGACAAATGTTCTGTGTTTGATTATGAAACAACAAAGGTACCATTAAAATTTCTAGCCCAGTAGTATAGTGGATATGGCTCAGTAGTAGAGTATTTGCTAGCATGTGAAAGACCCTGTATTTAATCCCCAACAGCACTCATGCACGCGCGCGCGCACACACACACACACACACACACACACATACACACACAAGTTAATTAAAAAATAAATTCCTGGCCCACACTGGTCTTTCATCTTCCATGCATTGAGAACTGGTTACTCAAGCGTACACTGACCATGAAACTATCAGCAGATAAGTGATTACTGGTTTGGAAAGTGTCATAATACTGTCACATAAATTAGTTTGTAAGAAACTGGGGCTTTTGCTGCAACCTATCTCATAATAGACTTATTGTTCCTCATTCTTATATTCTATGATGAGGCCAAATGCATTTAGAAATCTCACCACCAGTACAATTTGAGCAGCCGTTATGATGGGGCTGTTGCTAAAGCTGCCCAGTGGGTGGGCTGAAGCAACCCTGCAGTCATGTAAAGACCTGTATTCGTCATGATGAATCCAGGGTTCCTCCAAGTTAACCAAAAGGGGCTGGCTGTGAAATTATAATGACAGCATTATCCTGTGAAGCGAAGTGGTAGGCAAAGACAAGGAAAAATGAAGAGACGTTAGAGTTTCCTGATAGCAGATCCTGGGGTAGCTGTCTGTATGTAGGGTACATTTTTCTCCTGCACAGCAACTTCTCTGGTCAACTTTACCTTCAGGTAAAATGGGAAGACAGTTGCAAGAGTATGGGGGAGGGTTGAGCTGAGAGCTGTAAACTCAGGGTTTGAGGTCCTGATGTTCTGCTCTAGTGCAGGTAGTAAGAAGAACTTGACAGTATCTATTCCAACAGGGCTCAAGGGAAATCTTTCTCGATGTGGTTTCCAGAAGGCCCCATCTCTAGATCATGGAAGGTGTGATTATCCTTATTTGGTGGCTCATGGAAAACTTTGAACTGATGAAAATACACTTTGACATGAT